GTCGGGCACACTGTCAGGTCTCCACCTCCCCTCGTTCTCTACGAACTTGGTGGCGGGTTGTGCGCTCCAGGACGGGGGTGTTCACCAGTTCACCCCTGCCTACGAGCGCGTGACACACTGCACGTGTGCTCGGACGGGCCGTCACCTGGCTACCTTCACTCGGCAGCCAGGGTCGGACCTGTACACACTGACCACTGAGTCCCCTCAGGTAGCTGCGTCTGCGTCTGCGTCAGGTCAGCTGTCGCCCCCCTGCTCGTGTCGCTCTCTGGCGCACGAGACCGTCCTCTGGCACCACCGACTTGGTCACCCGTCCGTTCAGCGCCTTCGTGCCATGCACAAACGGTACCTTGTCTCTGGTCTTCCCAAGGTTCTCCCTCCCCTCCCACCCTCGCCTGCTCCTCCCTGTCTTCCCTGTGTCGAGGGGCGGCAGCGCGCCGCTCCTCACTCCTCCTCGTTTCCCCCGACGACTGCTCCCTTGCAGACGCTCCACATGGACGTGTGGGGCCCAGCCCGCGTCCGTGGTCAGGGTCAGGAGAGGTACTTCCTGATAGTTGTTGACGACTACTCGCGCTACACCACGGTCTTCCCCTTGCGCACCAAGGGTGAGGTCCCTGATGTTTTGATCCCTTGGATCCGCGCTTCTCGTCTCCAGCTCAGCGAGCGTTTCCACTCGGACTTTCCTGTCCTGCGCTTGCACTCTGACAGAGGTGGTGAGTTCTCCTCCGACCTCTTGGCAGCCTACTGTGCGGAGCACGGCATTCGCCAGTCGTTCACGCTTCCGGCCTCTCCACAGCAGAATGGGGTTGCTGAGCGCCGCATTGGCTTGGTCATGGAGGTCGCTCGTACCTCCTTGATCCATGCGGCTGCCCCCCACTTTCTGTGGCCGTTTGCGGTCCGCTACGCTGCGCATCAGCTCAACCTCTGGCCCCGTGTCTCCGTTCCGGAGACTTCGCCGACACTGCGTTGGACGGGAGAGGTTGGCGATGCGTCACGCTTTCGGGTCTGGGGATCTTGAGCTTTTGTCCGCGATACGTCTGCGGACAAGCTCTCCTCCCACGCTGTTCCTTGTGTCTTCCTTGGCTTTGTCCCGGACGCGTCTGGTTGGCAGTTTTACCACCCCACCTCGCGCAGTGTCCTGCCTTCTCAGGACGTCACGTTCGACGGGTCCGTCCCCTACTACCGCCTCTTCCCCTACCGTACTGCCTCGCTTCCCCCCCCGCCTCTCTTCCTCGCGCCAGGTGCTGCTGTGGTAGACCCCCTCCCCCCTCAGGGTGCCGCTCCCTCAGGTGTGTCCCAGGTAGACCCGGTTGAGCCTGTCGAGGTAGCTGTCGACTCTCGTCCTGCTGAGGGTGCTGAGCCTGAGCGTGCGGAGCCTGGGGGTGCGGAGCCTGGGGGTGCGGAGCCTGGGGGTGCGGAGTCTGGGGGTGCTGAGCCTGGGGGTGCGGAGCCTGCGGGTGCTGAGTCTGGGGGTGCTGAGTCTGGAGGTGCTGCGCCTGGGAGTGCTACACCTGGAGGAGCTCTCTCCTCACAGCAGCTGCGTGAGTGGTACTTACAGTACTGCAGCCTCAGGAGAGGTGCTTCTGGAGCTAGGAGTACTGCTGGAGCTGGGGCTAGTGCTTCCCCTCCTAGGCGGGAGCTACCCTCTCCCCAGCGGCTCCGAGAGTGGTACGCACGGCGCTGCAGTCTCCGGAGTGGCGCTCCTAGTGTCGCGGACCCTGGAGCTGGAGGTGCTGCTGCTGCTGGCGGTGCTGCTGGTGCTAGTGGAGGTGCTGCTGGTGCTGGAGCTGCTGGAGGTGCTGCTGTTGGCGGTGCTGCTGGCGCTGCTGGAGGTACTGCTGGTGCTGGAGCTGCTGGAGCTGCTGGAGGTGCTGCTGCTACTGGTGGTGCTGCTGGTGCTGCTGGAGTTGCTGGAGGTGCTGCTGGTGCTGTTGCTGTTGGAGCTGCTGGAGGTACTGCTACTCCTGGAGGTGCTGCTGGTGCTGCGGACCCTGGAGTTGGAGCTGCGGCTGGTGCTGCGGACCCGGGCGTTGGAGCTGCTGCTGGTGCTGCGGACCCTGGAGTTGGAGCTGCTGCTGGTGCTGCGGACCCTGGAGTTGCAGCTGCTGCTGGTGCTGAGGACCCTGGAGTTGGTGCTGCTGCTGGTGCTGACGACCCTGGCGCTGGTGTCTCTGCTGGTTCTGGAGACGCTGCGCGGCCGCGGCCGTACTTCGTTCCGCTCCTTCAGCAGGTTCTTGGTCAGCCTCCTCCTCCTTGTCCTCCTCCCTCCTTAGAGTGTCCTCCGTCTGTCCAGTCGCAGTCACAGTTACCGTCTGCCTCCCCTCTCCCTGGTCCTTCTCCTTACACTGGTCCGACTGGAGGTCTTACGGAGCGTCGTGAGCCTGAGTCTCGTCCTGCGTCGCCTGAGTCTCGTCGAGCGTCGCCTGTTCGCGCTGCTCACACTGGTCGTTGTGTCCCGCGTCAGCGTCCTCCTGCTGTCCCAGGCACTCACCAGATGGCGCTTCGTCCTTCCACAGCTCCTCAGCGTGTCCCTCTCCCGTCTCCTCCTGCGTCCTCTCTTCCTGCTCTTGCTGACCCTGAGTCTGACTCCCTTCGTGCTACCAGTCCTACTGTCACGCGTCTCCTGGCTACTGTTGTCACTGACCCTTCCTTTGAGTCCACTGCTGCGTCTGCCCTAGTTGCTGAGCTTGTCGACTTTGCTGCCGCTTGTCGTCTAGACTACGCCGCTAGCCTAGTTGCTGAGTCTGAGTCTGTCTGTCCTCCGTCCGTCGGGGGTGAGTGTGCTCTTGGCACGGACGTCCTTGAGGACAGGCAGGAGGAGTTTGAGTGCTTTGCCACTGCTTTACCTCATCTCGTGTCCATGCTAGTTGCCCCTGAGGGAGACCCGGATGCACCAGACATCCCGACTCCGCGCTCTTACGCAGAGGCGATAGAGGGTCCCTACTCCTCTCAGTGGCAGACAGCCATGGACGCAGAGATGGCTTCCTGGAAGTCCACAGGCACCTACGTCGACGAGGTTCCCCCACCTGGGGCGAACATCGTCAGTGGCATGTGGATTTTCAGGGTGAAGCGGCCGCCAGGTTCTCCGCCTGTCTTCAAGGCGCGTTACGTTGCACGAGGCTTCAGTCAGTGAGAGGGAGTTGACTTCTTCCAGACCTTCTCCCCGACCCCGAAGATGACCACTCTTCGGGTTCTGCTGCACGTCGCCGCTCAGCGTGACTACGAGCTCCACTCTCTTGACTTCAGCACTGCTTTCCTACAGGGCAGCCTGCACGAGGAGATCTGGCTGCGCCGCCCACCTGGCTTCACTGGGTCGTTCCCTCCTGGTACCCAGTGGAGCCTCCGGCGGCCAGTCTACGGTCTCCGACAGGCGCCACGTGAGTGGCACGACACACTGAGGACTACACTTGCGGCTCTTGGGTTCGCTCCTTCTACTGCTGACCCGTCGCTGTTTCTACGCACCGACACCTCGCTGCCGCCGTTCTACATCCTCGTGTACGTCGACGACTTGGTCTTTGCCACTGCTGACACTGCGGCACTCGCCCACGTGAAGTCGGAGCTGCAGAAGAGACACACGTGCACAGACCTGGGTGAACTGACAAGCTATCTTGGCTTGCGGATCACCCGGGACAGAGCACGGCGCACCATCACCTTGACTCAGTCACACATGGTGCAGCAGGTCCTTCAGCGCTTCCGCTTCACGTACTCCTCGCCTCAGCCCACTCCTCTGCCTACCGGTCACTCGCTCTCAGCTCTGCCTTCGGATGAGTCCGTAGAGCCGAGTGGCCCGTATCCAGAGCTTGTGGCTGCCTCATGTACCTGATGACCTGCACTCGACCTGACCTTGCATACCCTCTTAGCATCCTTGCACGCTATGTCGCTCCTGGCCGTCACCGGAAGGAGCACATGGATGCCGCTAAGAGGGTGTTGCGCTACTTGTGCAGTACGTCGGGCATGGGGCTAGTGCTTGGAGGACGAGACCGAGTTGTACTCACTGGGCACTCAGACGCGTCTTGGGCTGACGACCAGGCTACTCAGCGGTCGTCTCAGGGTTACACCTTCAGCCTTGGCTCTGGTTCAGTTTCTTGGCGTTCTACACGCTCGTCTTCTGTTCTCAGCTCCAGTTGTGAGGCTGAGATCTACGCCACAGCCATGGCTGCACAGGAGTTACGCTGGCTCACCTACCTGCTGACCGACTTGGGAGAGCGGCCTCGTTCTCCTCCAGTGATGTACGTCGACAACAAGGCTGCCATTGCCTTGTGTGAGGAGCACAGACTGGAGCACAGAACGAAGCATATCGCTCTGCGCTACTTCCTTGCTCGAGAGCTGCAGCAGCGCGGTCAGCTTCGTCTGCGTTACGTGGCCACTCGGGCCAACACTGCTGATGTGTTCACCAAGGCGCTTCAGCCTTGTGACCATCAGCGCTTCTATACTGTTCTATGCCTTGTGCCTACTGGGCCTCACTTGCTTACTTCTTGACTCTGCTTGTACTGTGATCTCTATATATATACCTGCATGTTTACTCTTGCTAGGTTGTGATCGCTGTATCTCTTGTTATACTATCAACCTGCATGTGAACTGGTCTTGTGACCACTTGCTTGTGCTCAGAATTTGTGTGGTTTCCTTGAGATCCACCCTGAGCTTGCTTTGCTTTGCTTTGACTGGTCTTGTGACCATCTGGTTGTCTCCCACTTAGCCTATGGGGGTGTGTCAAACATTATATGTTTAAATTGTGTAGGCTATAGTGGGTTTAGCCTTAGGGGGTACAACTTTGTTAGGGTTTCCTACTTGTATCCCCCTCCTACCTAGTTTCATCCATTCTCGTTCACCTCTACTTTACAACACGATCTCGCGCGTCTGCGTTCCCCCCGCAGATGAAGCCAGTGCCCACGGCGACCCTAGCGCACTTGTGGTCGTTGGCGGAGTGCCTGCAGAGTCTTGAGCTGATTCTCTAGGAGTCGCATGGCTCCATGTTGGAGACCCCGCCGAGCACGTTCTCTCAGATGCCGCGAGCAAGGTGTCACGCGGCGGCGTCAGCATTATTCTCGTTCGTATCGCCACTGCAGGTCGCGCCCTCGCCGGGAGTGGTCTCGGCCACCCTGCTGGCTGAGACGGCCCTGGGTCTGAGGACCCTTGTAGCAACTCGTGGAACTCCTGTTGACGTTGTCGGCGCCACCGCGTCAGTGGTCCGCCAGATGTGGCTGACCACGCGCGAAATGCTTGGTGAGCTTGAGGCGGACCGCATGTAGGCGGCCCCCTCGCGCGTGTGTAGACCCGTTCCATGGTAGCTTGTCTAGTTGTCGTTGTCTGCCATGGTTGTCATTTTTGCCGTCATCTAGCCGTCCTTGTTATTGTCCTTATCGTCCCAAGTGCGCGGCCGCAGGCCGCGCCCGCGAGCGCCGGCGCGAAGCGCCGGAAAAAACAGAGACACCAAATGAAGAATGAGCTGGAGAGAAGGCCAAGGGGCCCTTATATAGCTGGGGAAGAGAGGGGAAGAGCCTAGGAGGGAAGAGACTAAGTCACTTGCTTCTCTCTCTCTCGCTCTCTCGAACGAGGGGGAAAAATCAGAGACACCAAATGAAGAATGAGCTGGAGAGAAGGCCAAGGGGCCCTTATATAGCTGGGGAAGAGAGGGGAAGAGCCTAGGAGGGAAGAGACTAAGTCACTTGCTTCTCTCTCTCTCTCTCTCTCTCTCTCTCTCTCTCTCTCTCTCTCTCTCTCTCTCTCTCTCTCTCTCTCTCTCTCTCTCTCTCTCTCTCTTTCCAATTTTATTCCTCTGTCTCCAATGCATGATTGCTTGCAGCTTTGGAATCGTGCTTCTTGAGTTGCTGAGCGGAAAATCAACCCATGTTGGCGCTGACGAAAAAACACATATAATAAAATGGGTACGATTGTCAATTATGAAATCCAAGATTCCAGTTGGCGCAATTATGAATATTGCATATCAGAGAATGCTTGTGCCCATCACAACTCAAATCTTTCTTTTCATTTTTTTCATGGCTGCACGTTTTTCCTGAACTCACTTTCATTCTGGATATCACAGCCTTTCCTTGCTGTCATGCTGCCTTGCACCAAATTTCCGGTTTTTGATGCTGCTTTTCACCGCCTCTCCCATGCATCATCCATTTCTTGTGTGGATGCCTTCCAGGCAATGAAGAGGGTGGAGGAGTATGAGCTAGAGGAGCTGAGGGACAGCAAGATGCCAGTGGTCACTGAGGAGGCCTTAGTGGACTTTGCTGACCTGGCTCTGGACTGCATCAAGTCTCCCGGCACACGGCGACCCACCATGAAGGATGTGGCATACCGCCTCACTGCCTTCATTGCCAAGCACTGCCCCGACAGGGAGGACGAGTGGGAAAGTGTCGCGAGAGACGACAGTGCAAGCAACGAGGGTGTGTCTTCCAGGGATGTTTCTGGTTTGTCGTTTGGAGATGGTGGGAGGGAGCCCAAGGGGTCTTATGGCTCACAGTCTGGTGTGAGCTCATTCTTGCTTGGCTCGATGGGTGATGGCGTCCGGAGTTGGCTGCAATCGAAGCCAACCAAAGGGCGTTGAGTCTGCCCATTATGCCTACATATAAACTATTTAGCACGGAACTATAGATGCAGTATAGCAGGAGGAGCACTGGGCTGGGTGTTATATTCAGGGCAGCATGGTCTAAGAGCACTTGGTGTTTGTCCTTGTTGGGACTTGGATGCAATAGCTAATGAAAATGGGAGAGGCAAGAAGCACGCAAGGGGGTCTAGAACCACAGCTTACAGATGCACATGAGCCTATTCCTGAAAAGTGATATGGCGTCTCCTTATAAGCTGCTTATTGACCAGCAGGTACTGGTGCGTTACTTTGGGAATATGCAACGAGGGATACCACACCTGATGGACAGTATAGCTGATCAGCTTGCATTGATGTGATGTTGCATAACAACCTGGAAGTTGGACGTAGGGTTCAGTGGGCATCTTCTGTTGCATAATTGCATGTGATGCGTTGGGGTGATGATCTATGCTTGGTGTATGAGGGAGTGGAGCAGGGCCTATCTTTGGATTTTGGCTACTCAGGATTAGCAGCGTAGCCATTTTCAAAACCCTTTTGAGCAGTGTGTCCTTTTTGGAAACACTAAAGGATCAGTGTAACTTAACGTTTTGAAAATTTTACCCAGAGGCATCAGTGTAGGTATTTTTTTTTACCCTGATTGCACTGTAGGCAGTTGTGTGTTCCATCTAAAACCGAAACATGCTAGTCCAGTGTGATTTGTGATAGAATCTGCTATGACAGATGAATCTCTGCCGTGATAGATCGAATTTGCATATTTCTCCACTGTGACAGGTTGAATCTGCCTGATCTCTTCTGTGATAGGTTGAAAATGCACTAACAAATCGAATTCGGTCTTGCTGGAAAATTTTGGCGTGGCATGGCAGGTCAACAATGAATCTACAGATTGTACTTTGATTGGTCAGACAGGCCTTGGTGAAAAAAAAATGACGCGTCAGACTGGAAAAACGAAAAATCTGATGGATCAGGCACCTTTGAATCCTAGCGAGGACCCTGGTCAGGCCTGTCGATTCAAGGGCATATGCCCTTAATGCCATGAACATTCCGGGCTACTTTCGCTCTAGCTCGACTGCATAAAGTGTTCGATTCGCACTGCACCCGTGCCACTAAGTGCCTCGTTCGACCCTTCCCCAGATGCGTTAAGGGCCCAAACCAGACCTTCCCCTGTCAAAATGTTATAATGCTTACATTGTGTAGGCTGTAGTGGGGTAGCCTATAAGGGGTACAACCCAATTAGGGTTAGTACTTGTACCCAACACATTCATAGTTCATTCATTCTCGTTCAGTATTCTGACATGGTATCAGAGCAGGTCCTGTTCCAGGACCGTTTTCTTTGGGGCCCACCGAATAGCGCTGCCCCACTAGTCGCGCTGCCCTGCCCTGCCCTGCCCTGCATGTCGCGCCGCCCTGCTGGCCGCCGCGCCGCCCTTTGCAGCCCGCGCGCCGCCCTTTGCAGCCCGCCGCGCCGCCCTTTGCAGCCTGCGCACCGCCATTTGCAGCCCGCGCGCCGCCCTTTGCAACCCGTGCGCCGCCCTGCTGCTGCCCGCCCTGCCTTGCCCGCGTGCCGCCCTTTGCAAGCCCGCGCGCCGCCCTTTTGCAGCCCACGCGACGCCATTTGCAGCCCGCGCGCCGCCCTTTGCAACCCGCGCGCCGCCCTGCTGCTGCCCGCCCTGCCTTGCCCGCGCGCCGCCCTGCTGGCCGCCGCGCCGCCCTTTGCAAGCCCGCGCGCCGCCCTTTTGCAGCCGGCCACGCCGCCCTTTGCAGCCCGCGCGGCGCCCCTTGCAGCCCGCGCGCCGCCCTGCTGCGCGCAGCCCTGCTGGCCGGCGCCCTGCTGCCCGCACAGCCCTGCTGTGCGCCGCCCGGCTGCTGCCCGCCCCGCTGCGCGCAGCCTTGCTGGCCGGCGCCCTCCTGCCCACGCCGCCCTACTGCTGCCCGCCCTGCTGTGCGCCACCCTGCTAGCCGACGCCCTGCTGCCCGCGCGCCGCCCGCCCTGCCCTTCCCTGCGCACTCCTCTAGTGCTCTAGTGCTCGCGCGATGCCCTGCTTGCGTGTCGCCCGTCTTGTCGCGCGCCACCCTTCTCTGCCCGCTATGGCTTCTCTCAGTGTACTCAGCTTCGATCATGAGGGCCGTCCGATCCAGTTCAATACGTGGCTCGACGACTTACATCTGTACCTACTGAGCGATTCTAGAGACAGCGTTTCGTTGTTTGACCACACGTCTGGAGCCTCTCTCGCCCCTCCCGCCAAAGCTGACTGTGCGACTCGCTCACAGTGGCTTACCCGTGACGCTGCTGCTCGCTTAGCCATTTGCAACCACCTGCCGTTAGCCGAACGCGCTCACTTTGGCCAGCACAAGACTGCCAAAGCCCTGTACGACGTTGTAGGACCTCGTTACCCACCTCCGCACTAGTGATGCTCGCTACCGCGCTGCCCTCCCAGCCGAGTTCCTAGACAGGAACCCGCCCCCGATGTACATCACTCTCTACTTCATAGTCACCCGCCTCCCTGACTCTCTTCGCGCTCTCAGGGACCACTTTCTTGCACTTGACCCCACTGACCTCACCGTCGACCTGCTTGAGAAGCACCTCCTTGCAGCTGAGACTAGCGTAGTCGCTGTAGGTGCTGCTCAGGGTGCTCCCCCTGCCCCCTTGACCCCTCCTACGCTTCTGCTGCTGCTGTTGACATCCCTGGTACTGAGGACATCAGGGCTGCTTCTTCTCCTAGTGGGAAGCGCCGCAACGGCAAGGGCAAGGGAGGCAAGGGTGGTGGAGGTGGCAGCGGGGGTGGTGGTGGTGGTGGAGGCGGTGGAGGCAGTGGAGGTTGTGGAGGTGACGGTGAGAGTGGTGGCGCGAGTGGGGGCTTCGGTGGCGGCGGTGGTGGCAGCGGTGGGAGTGGTGGTGGCGGCAGTGGAACATAGTCAATGGCATGTGGATTTTCAGGGTGAAGCGGCCGCTGGGTTCTCTGCCTGTATTCAAGGCTCGTTATGTTGCACGAGCTTCATTTGAGAATAATGAGAGGAATGAGTGAACTAGGAAACAGGTGGGGTACAAGTAGAAAACAAAAAAAGTGTTGTACCCTCTAAGGACTACCCCACTACAGCCTAAATAGACTATAGCATATATAAGTTTGACACACCCCCATAGGCAAAGTGGGGGAGAACAAGGGGTCACAAGACCAGTCAAGAAGGCAAAGCAAGCTCAGGGTGGATCACAAAGTCACCACACTGTCTGAGCACAAGCAAAGGGCCACAAGGCCAGTTCACATGCAGAGTTATATAAAGGAAAGCAAACAGTGAACACAACCTAGCAAGTGTAAACATGCAGGTATAAGTATATAGAGTACAGTACAAACAGAGTCAAGAAGTCAGTAAGTGAGGCACAGTAGGTACAATGCCTAAAACAGTACAGAAACGCTGATGATCACAAGGCTGAAGTGCCTTGGTGAAAACATCAGCAGTGTTGGCCTGAGAGGCCACGTAAGCAAGACGAAGCTGGCCACGCTGCTGTAACTCTCGAGCAAGGAAGTAGCACAGAGCAATGTGCATCGTTCTGTGCTCCAATCTGTGCTCCTGACACAAGGCCAGCATGGCCTTGTTGTCGACGTACAGAACTGGAGGAGAACGAGGCGCCTCTCCCAAGTCGGTCAGCAGGTAGGTGAGCCAGCGTAGCTCCTGTGCAGCCATGGCCCCAGCGTAGATCTCAGCCTCACAACTGGAGCTGAGAACAGAAGAAGAACGGGTAGACCGCCAAGAGACAGAACCGGCGCCAAGACTGAAGGTGTAACCCTGTGACGACCGCTGCGTAGCCAAGTCGTCAACCCAGGAGGCGTCAGCATGACCAGTGAGGACAACTCGAGCCCGTCCTCCAAGCACGAGCCCCATGCCCGATGTACTGCACAAGTATCGCAACACCCTCTTCGCAGCATCCCAGTGCACCTTTCGGTGCCTGCCGGGAGCCACGTAGCGAGCCAGAAGGCTGAGAGGGTATGCGAGGTCAGGTCGTGTGCAAGTCATCAGGTACATGAGGCAGCCCACAAGCTCTGGATACGGGCCACTCGGCTCTACGGACTCGTCCGAAGGTGGAGCTGAGAGCGAGTGACCGGTAGGCAGAGGAGTGGACTGTGGCGAGGAGTACGTGAAGCCGAAGCGCTGAAGGACCTGCTGCACCATGTGTGACTGAGTCAAGGTAATGGTGCGCTGTGCTCTGTCCTGGGTGATCCGCAAGCCAAGATAGCTTGTCAGCTCACCCAGGTCTGTGCACGTGTGTCTCTTCTGCAGCTCGGACTTTACGTGGGCGAGTGCCTCAGTGTCAGCAGTAGCAAAGACGAGGTCGTCTACGTACACGAGAACGTAGAACGGCGGCAGAGTAGTGTCAGTGCGTAAGAACAGAGAAGGGTCAGAAGTGGAAGGAGCAAAACCAAGAGCAGCAAGAGTCGTCCTGAGTGTGTCGTGCCACTCACGAGGTGCCTGGCGGAGACCGTAGACTGGCCGCCGGAGGCTCCACTGGGTACCAGCTGGAAACGACCCAGTGAAGCCAGGTGGGCGGCGCAGCCAGATCTCCTCGTGCAGGCTGCCCTGTAGGAAGGCTGTGCTGAAGTCAAGCGAGTGGAGCTCGTAGTCACGCTGAGCAGCTACGTGCAGCAGTACCCGAAGAGTGGTCATCTTCGGGGTAGGGGAGAAGGTCTGAAAGAAGTCAACTCCCTGTCGCTGACTGAAGCCACGCGCAACGTAACGCTCCTTGAAGACAGGCGAAGAACCCGGCGGCCGCTTCACCCTGAAGATCCACATGGCACTGACGATGTTCGCCCCAGGCGGGGGAACCTCGTCGACGTAGGTGCATGTGGACTTCCAGGAAGCCATCTCGGCGTCCATGGCTGCCTGCCACTGAGAGGAGTAGGGACCCTCTATCGCCTCTGCGTAAGAGTGCGGGGTCGGGATGTCTGGTGCATCCGGGTCTCCCTCAGGGGCAAGCAGCATGGACACGAGATGAGGTACAGAAGCAGCAAAGCACTCAAACTCCTCCTGTCTGTCCTCAAGAACGTCCGTGCCAAGAGCACACTCACCCCCGACGGACGGAGGACAGACAAACGCAGACGCAAACTCAGCAACAAGACTAGCGGCGTAGTCTAGGCGACAGGCTGCAGCAAAGTCAACAAGCTCAGTAACAAGAGCAGACGCAGCAGTGGACTCAAACAAAGGGTCAGTGACAGCACTAGCCAGAAAACGCGTGACACCTGGACTAGCAGCACGTAGGGAGTCAGACGCAGGGTCCGGACCGGCAGGAAGAGAGGACGCAGGAGGAGACGGCAGAGGGACACGCTGCGGAGCAGTGGAAGGACGCAGAGTCATAGAGTGAGTGCCAGGGACAGGAGGAGGACACGGACGCAAAACACGACCAGCGCGACCAGGACGGACAGGCGACACAGAACGAGACTCAGGCGACACAGGACGCGACTCAGGCTCACGACGCTCGGTAAGACCTCTAGTCGGTCCAGAGTAAGGAGAAGGACCAGGCAGGGGAGAGGCTGGCTGGAACCGCGACTGGGACTGGACAGGCGGTGGACTCAGGAAAGGAGGAGGAGGACCAGGAGAAGGCGGGGAGCCAAGAACCTGGTGAAGAAGTGGAACGTAGTACGGCCGCGGCCGCGCAGCACCTCCAGAAACAGCAGAGACAGAACCGGGACCCCCAGCCCCAGGGTCTCCCGTCCCAGCAGCACCTCCAGCAGCTCCAGCACCAGCAGCACCTCCAGCAGCACCTCTGGCACCAGCAGCACCTCCAGCAGCTCCAGCACCAGCAGCACCTCCAGCAGCTCCAGCACCAGCAGTACCTCCAGCAGCTCCAGCACTAGCAGCACCTCCAGCAGCTCCAGCACCAGCAGCACCTCCAGCAGTACCAGCACCAGCAGCACCTCCAGAAGCTCCAGCAGCACCTCCAGCACCAGCAGCACCTCCAGAAGCTCCAGCAGCACCTCCAGCACTAGCAGCACCTCCAGCAGCTCCAGCACCAGCAGCACCTCCAGCAGCTCCAGCACCAGCAGCACCTCCAGCAGCTCCAGCAGTGCCACCAGTAGCTCCAGCAGCACCCCGACAGCGCCGAGAGTACCACTCACGAAGCTGCTGTGGAGAGAGAGGCTCCCGCCGCAGCGGGACACCTAGAGCACCTCCAGACGCAGCACGCGCAGGCTCAGCACCCCCAGACACAGTACCCTCAGGCTCCACATGCCCAGGCTCAGCACCCCCAGGCTCAGTACGCCCAGACTCAGCACCTGGGTGGGGTGGTAGAACTGCCATGCTCGTTCCTTTGCACGCATGCTCGTTCCTTTGCACAATGCCATGAACTTGTGCACCTCACTTGTTTTCTGATCTTCCTGCTTGATGTTGAATACTTGTACCATGCACCTCTCTCTCTCTCTCTCTCTTTCCAATTTTATTCCTCTGTCTCCAATGCATGATTGCTTGCAGCTTTGGAATCGTGCTTCTTGAGTTGCTGAGCGGAAAATCAACCCATGTTGGCGCTGACGAAAAGACACATATAATAAAATGGGTACGATTGTCAATTATGAAATCCAAGATTCCAGTTGGCGCAATTATGAATATTGCATATCAGAGAATGCTTGTGCCCATCACAACTCAAATCTTTCTTTTCATTTTTTTCATGGCTGCACGTTTTTCCTGAACTCACTTTCATTCTGGATATCACAGCCTTTCCTTGCTGTCATGCTGCCTTGCACCAAATTTCCGGTTTTTGATGCTGCTTTTCACCGCCTCTCCCATGCATCATCCATTTCTTGTGTGGATGCCTTCCAGGCAATGAAGAGGGTGGAGGAGTATGAGCTAGAGGAGCTGAGGGACAGCAAGATGCCAGTGGTCACTGAGGAGGCCTTAGTGGACTTTGCTGACCTGGCTCTGGACTGCATCAAGTCTCCCGGCACACGGCGACCCACCATGAAGGATGTGGCATACCGCCTCACTGCCTTCATTGCCAAGCACTGCCCCGACAGGGAGGACGAGTGGGAAAGTGTCGCGAGAGACGACAGTGCAAGCAACGAGGGTGTGTCTTCCAGGGATGTTTCTGGTTTGTCGTTTGGAGATGGTGGGAGGGAGCCCAAGGGGTCTTATGGCTCACAGTCTGGTGTGAGCTCATTCTTGCTTGGCTCGATGGGTGATGGCATCCGGAGTTGGCTGCAATCGAAGCCAACCAAAGGGCGTTGAGTCTGCCCATTATGCCTACATATAAACTATTTAGCACGGAACTATAGATGCAGTATAGCAGGAGGAGCACTGGGCTGGGTGTTATATTCAGGGCAGCATGGTCTAAGAGCACTTGGTGTTTGTCCTTGTTGGGACTTGGATGCAATAGCTAATGAAAATGGGAGAGGCAAGAAGCACACAAGGGGGTCTAGAACCACAGCTTACAGATGCACATGAGCCTATTCCTGAAAAGTGATATGGCGTCTCCTTATAAGCTGCTTATTGACCAGCAGGTACTGGTGCGTTACTTTGGGAATATGCAACGAGGGATACCACACCTGATGGACAGTATAGCTGATCAGCTTGCATTGATGTGATGTTGCATAACAACCTGGAAGTTGGACGTAGGGTTCAGTGGGCATCTTCTGTTGCATAATTGCATGTGATGCGTTGGGGTGATGATCTATGCTTGGTGTATGAGGGAGTGGAGCAGGGCCTATCTTTGGATTTTGGCTACTCAGGATTAGCAGCGTAGCCATTTTCAAAACCCTTTTGAGCAGTGTGTCCTTTTTGGAAACACTAAAGGATCAGTGTTACTTGACGTTTTGAAAATTTTACCCAGAGGCATCAGTGTAGGTATTTTTTTTTACCCTGATTGCACTGTAGGCAGTTGTGTGTTCCATCTAAAACCGAAACATGCTAGTGCAGTGTGATTTGTGATAGAATCTGCTATGACAGATGAATCTCTGCCGTGATAGATCGAATTTGCATATTTCTCCACTGTGATAGGTTGAATCTGCCTGATCTCTTCTGTGATAGGTTGAAAATGCACTAACAAATCGAATTCGGTCTTGCTGGAAAATTTTGGCGTGGCATGGCAGGTCAACAATGAATCTACAGATTGTACTTTGATTGGTCAGACAGGCCTTGGTGAAAAAAAAATGACGCGTCAGACTGGAAAAACGAAAAATCTGATGGATCAGGCACCTTTGAATCCTAGCGAGGACCCTGGTCAGGCCTGTCGATTCAAGGGCATATGCCCTTAATGCCATGAACATTCCGGGCTACTTTCGCTCTAGCTCGACTGCATAAAGTGTTCGATTCGCACTGCACCCGTGCCACTAAGTGCCTCGTTCGACCCTTCCCCAGATGCGTTAAGGGCCCAAACCAGACCTTCCCCTGTCAAAATGTTATAATGCTTACATTATGTAGGCTGTAGTGGGGTAGCCTATAAGGGGTACAACCCAATTAGGGTTAGTACTTGTACCCAACACATTCATAGTTCATTCATTCTCGTTCAGTATTCTGACATGGTATCAGAGCAGGTCCTGTTCCAGGACCGTTTTCTTTGGGGCCCACCGAATAGCGCTGCCCCACTAGTCGCGCTGCCCTGCCCTGCCCTGCCCTGCATGTCGCGCCGCCCTGCTGGCCGCCGCGCCGCCCTTTGCAGCCCGCCACGCCGCCCTTTGCAGCCCGCGCGCCGCCATTTGCAGCCCGCGCGCCGCCCTTTGCAACCCGTGCGCCGCCCTGCTGCTGCCCGCCCTGCCTTGCCCGCGTGCCGCCCTTTGCAAGCCCGCGCGCCGCCCTTTTGCAGCCCACGCGACGCCATTTGCAGCCCGCGCGCCGCCCTTTGCAACCCGCGCGCCGCCCTGCTGCTGCCCGCCCTGCCTTGCCCGCGCGCCGCCCTGCTGGCCGCCGCGCCGCCCTTTGCAAGCCCGCGCGCCGCCCTTTTGCAGCCGGCCACGCCGCCCTTTGCAGCCCGCGCGGCGCCCCTTGCAGCCCGCGCGCCGCCCTGCTGCGCGCAGCCCTGCTGGCCGGCGCCCTGCTGCCCGCACAGCCCTGCTGCGCGCCGCCCGGCTGCTGCCCGCCCCGCTGCGCGCAGCCTTGCTGGCCGGCGCCCTCCTGCCCACGCCGCCCTACTGCTGCCCGCCCTGCTATGCGCCACCCTGCTAGCCGACGCCCTGCTGCCCGCGCGCCGCCCGCCCTGCCCTTCCCTGCGCACTCCTCTAGTGCTCTAGTGCTCGCGCGATGCCCTGCTTGCGTGTCGCCCGTCTTGTCGCGCGCCACCCTTCTCTGCCTGCTATGGCTTCTCTCAGTGTACTCAGCTTCGATCATGAGGGCCGTCCGATCCAGTTCAATACATGGCTCGACGACTTACATCTGTACCTACTGAGCGATTCTAGAGACAGCGTTTCGTTGTTTGACCACACGTCTGGAGCCTCTCTCGCCCCTCCCGCCAAAGCTGACTGTGCGACTCGCTCACAGTGGCTTACCCGTGACGCTGCTGCTCGCTTAGCCATTCGCAACCACCTGCCGTTAGCCGAACGCGCTCACTTTGGCCAGCACAAGACTGCCAAAGCCCTGTACGACGTTGTAGGACCTCGTTACCCACCTCCGCACTAGTGATGCTCGCTACCGCGCTGCCCTCCCAGCCGAGTTCCTAGACAGGAACCCGCCCCCGATGTACATCACTCTCTACTTCATAGTCACCCGCCTCCCTGACTCTCTTCGCGCTCTCAGGGACCACTTTCTTGCACTTGACCCCACTGACCTCACCGTCGACCTGCTCGAGAAGCACCTCCTTGCAGCTGAGACTAGCGTAGTCGCTGTAGGTGCTGCTCAGGGTGATCCCCCTGCCCCCTTGACCCCTCCTACGCTTCTGCTGCTGCTGTTGACATCCCTGGTACTGAGGACATCAGGGCTGCTTCTTCTCCTAGTGGGAAGCGCCGCAACGGCAAGGGCAAGGGAGGCAAGGGTGGTGGAGGTGGCAGCGGGGGTGGTGGTGGTGGTGGAGGCGGTGGAGGCAGTGGAGGTTGTGGAGGTGACGGTGAGAGTGGTGGCGCGAGTGGGGGCTTCGGTGGCGGCGGTGGTGGCAGCGGTGGGAGTGGTGGTGGCGGCAGTGGAACATAGTCAATGGCATGTGGATTTTCAGGGTGAAGCGGCCGCTGGGTTCTCTGCCTGTATTCAAGGCTCGTTATGTTGCACGAGCTTCATGTGAGAATAATGAGAGGAATGAGTGAACTAGGAAACAGGTGGGGTACAAGTAGAAAACAAAAAAAGTGTTGTACCCTCTAAGGACTACCCCACTACAGCCTAAATAGACTATAGCATATATAAGTTTGACACACCCCCATAGGCAAAGTGGGGGAGAACAAGGGGTCACAAGACCAGTCAAGAAGGCAAAGCAAGCTCAGGGTGGATCACAAAGTCACCACACTGTCTGAGCACAAGCAAAGGGCCACAAGGCCAGTTCACATGCAGAGTTATATAAAGGAAAGCAAACAATACAGTGAACACAACCTAGCAAGTGTAAGCATGCAGGTATAAGTATATAGAGTACAGTACAAACAGAGTCAAGAATTCAGTAAGTGAGGCACAGTAGGTACAAGGCCTAACATAGTACAGAAACGCTGATGATCACAAGGCTGAAGTGCCTTGGTGAAAACATCAGCAGTGTTGGCCTGAGAGGCCACGTAAGCAAGACGAAGCTGGCCACGCTGCTGTAACTCTCGAGCAAGGAAGTAGCACAGAGCAATGTGCATCGTTCTGTGCTCCAATCTGTGCTCCTGACACAAGGCCAGCATGGCCTTGTTGTCGACGTACAGAACTGGAGGAGAACGAGGCGCCTCTCCCAAGTCGGTCAGCAGGTAGGTGAGCCAGCGTAGCTCCTGTGCAGCCATGGCCCCAGCGTAGATCTCAGCCTCACAACTGGAGCTGAGAACAGAAGAAGAACGGGTAGACCGCCAAGAGACAGAACCGGCGCCAAGACTGAAGGTGTAACCCTGTGACGACCGCTGCGTAGCCAAGTCGTCAACCCAGGAGGCGTCAGCATGACCAGTGAGGACAACTCGAGCCCGTCCTCCAAGCACGAGCCCCATGCCCGATGTACTGCACAAGTATCGCAACACCCTCTTTGCAGCATCCCAGTGCACCTTTCGGTGCCTGCCGGGAGCCACGTAGCGAGCCAGAAGGCTGAGAGGGTATGCGAGGTCAGGTCGTGTGCAAGTCATCAGGTACATGAGGCAGCCCACAAGCTCTGGATACGGGCCACTCGGCTCTACGGACTTGTCCGAAGGTGGAGCTGAGAGCGAGTGACCGGTAGGCAGAGGAGTGGACTGTGGCGAGGAGTACGTGAAGCCGAAGCGCTGAAGGACCTGCTGCACCATGTGTGACTGAGTCAAGGTAATGGTGCGCTGGGTGATCCGCAAGCCAAGATAGCTTGTCAGCTCACCCAGGTCTGTGCACGTGTGTCTCTTCTGCAGCTCGGACTTTACGTGGGCGAGTGCCTCAGTGTCAGCAGTAGCAAAGACGAGGTCATCTACGTACACGAGAACGTAGAACGGCGGCAGAGTAGTGTCAGTACGTAAGAACAGAGAAGGGTCAGAAGTGGAAGGAGCAAAACCAAGAGCAGCAAGAGTCGTCCTGAGTGTGTCGTGCCACTCACGAGGTGCCTGGCGGAGACCGTAGACTGGCCGCCGGAGGCTCCACTGGGTACCAGCTGGAAACGACCCAGTGAAGCCAGGTGGGCGGCGCAGCCAGATCTCCTCGTGCAGGTTGCCCTGTAGGAAGGTTGTGCTGAAGTCAAGCGAGTGGAGCTCGTAGTCACGCTGAGCAGCTACGTGCAGCAGTACCCGAAGAGTGGTCATCTTCGGGGTAGGGGAGAAGGTCTGAAAGAAGTCAACTCCCTGTTGCTGACTGAAGCCACGTGCAACGTAACGCTCCTTGAAGACAGGCGGAGAACCCGGTGGCCGCTTCATCCTGAAGATCCACATGGCACTGACGATGTTCGCCCCAGGCGGGGGAACCTCGTCGACGTAGGTGCATGTGGACTTCCAGGAAGCCATCTCGGCATCCATGGCTGCCTGCCACTGAGAGGAGTAGGGACCCTCTATCGCCTCTGCGTAAGAGCGCGGTGTCGGGATGTCTGGTGCATCCGGGTCTCCCTCAGGGGCAAGCAGCATGGACACGAGATGAGGTACAGAAGCAGCAAAGCACTCAAACTCCTCCTGTCTGTCCTCAAG